TACATTTGAGAAACTAAGAAAATATTGAAGAATCCTCCTAACAGAAATAGGTTTCCCAAAACAACCATAAATATATAGTTTTGGATTGTTGCTTATTTACAAAATTCTGTGGAATAATTAAAAAAACTTACACATCTCATTTTGTAATGTAAACAAACTCATAATCTTGGCTCATTTTTAAATTAAATTATTACTTCAATTTTCATTAAAAATCAGCAATTCCTTTAACTATACAACTTCCCTTTTTTTTTTCCCTCCCCCCCTTTCTCAGTGTCCATTCTTGCTTGGCAGTAATGGAGTGTAATACTTGTCCCTTCCATATGGGGAAAATGAGGACTCTACTGTTGCCAAGATCAATCTTGTCTGTAATAAGAATAACTACCAGGAGATCCTTTGGAAGTAGCCAAATGAATGACAGACATGAGAGTGATTCAAGTGCCTATCCAAAGCTACTTTAAACTAAACTGACACTGGGGGGAATCTTGTGTACCCATTTCTTTTTTCCATACTCTAGGTATTTGTAACTGGTTCCCATGAAGATCTCATGCTTGCATAACCAAAGCAAGAATTAAGAATAAATCCTCCCTGGCATTCATCTGGTAGTGAAATCTCCCTTCCCTTCCAGACTGCATATCCCAAAGATTAAACCTCATTCCAAAGCAGCTACAGGTCTTCCAGACTCTCACACTACCTGACAAATAAAAAGGGAAACAGCCTCTGAGTTTAAGGACATAAACTCTGTATGCCCATATTCTGGCAGTATTGTTTCCTGACATCTGTTTACGTCTCCTTATCCACGTAAACAGAGCAATGAAAGGTTCTGTGTGTCAATTATAGGCCTTGCATCTTAAATAAGCCTCTAATGCTCAAATTGAGAAAGTCCAATAAACATTTTATGAGAGAGTGGAAGAACCTTTCATAAATAATACTATCGAGATAGAAGAGAAAGAGACAGGAAAAAACTATGAAAAGGTTGCACATTCATAACAGGATATTTTAAAGTTCCATTAAAAAGAGGGAATTCTGTACAGTTTAGTAAACATGACCCTTGCCACAGTACAAAGCCCTCAGAATCTCTGATTTTACCTTTACACACCAAGCCAGAACAAGGCTGGGGCACTGCACATAGAGCGTCAGCTTTCTTAGAGTGGCAGAGGCAGGAGCTCCAGCCCTGATGTAATTTTGATGCAACCTGCAGGAAGTAAAGGACCCTGCCATAACCTGCAGCACGGGTGATTTCTCTCCTTGATAAATTCAAGGAAAAAAAATTCACTGAGGCTATTACTTGCAAAATTCCTCTATCTGCATCAAGATATCTCAAAACTAGCAGTCACTGGAAGCAGATAGGATGGTCATAGAAGAATCAACAGTTTTGTCTTTGTCCTGTTCACACCTCCTCCAGCTACTGGCCAGAGACAGAGCCTGTGGTCTCCAGGTGTTTTGACATTAGTTTTCTTCAAAAAGCATTGCTATTCATCTGAGAAGCTTGAATTCTACAAAAGTCCCAATACCTACATGGTGGGATGGCATTCAGGATGGCATTCGGGAGTGGACACAACAACACAGCTGTTTAAGCACATATTGTGGCTGAGAAACAAACAAACAAACAAACAAAAACCCAAAACACTAATACAAGAGCAAAAAAGCAAATTAATATTCTGTAACCAGCCACAACAGCAGAAACTAATCAGACTGTTAGTCCATTAGTAAAACCACAAAGTTTCACTCCAGCAGCTCTGAAACAGTAATGGATTTTCCCAGGAAAACTTGAAAGAAAAGGTGAAAAAAGGTTTGTGTGGTATGATGGAAAGGAATGCCAGACACAGCTTTGGTCAAACATTCCCATTAAATATTTTCTCATTACCCACTAAGTTCACTCACAGGCCAATTTCACTGGCTATTTACCAAGGAGGTTTAAGATAATGTTTACTGCTCTTTACTGCTTTTCAGTCTTGTAGGCTTGCTGGCATTTCCCTTCAAAAAATCCTTGTGAAATTAAAAAAGTAACACATGAATAGTTTATACTTTTTCTTATACTGAGAAAATCTCTGTAGATTTTCTGTTATTCGGATCATATATATTCTACCACTAAACTGCTATACAATTGCCTTCGGAAAGTTACTAAAGATTTCTTTTTTCTTTAGCAATATGGACTCACTGAAAAAATTTCATTAGAAATGAGAGTAAATCAGACTCTTTGCAGAGACAGACAGTGGTGCATTTGTGCTTTTATTATACATATAGCATAGCATAACTTCAACTCTGCAATGTCTAAAAAAACCCAAAAGAGTAAAATTACATATTTCAGCCCTAGGTAACATGGAAAATGTAAAGAAGTATAACACTTAGCTGCAGAAAACAAATTGAAATCTTGGATAACATTATGTGTTAATCTTTAATTACCCTAAATGCTAACTGCTATTTTTGAGAGTGTAAGGCAAAAATGGAAACTAGCAAAGCAGCTTGTAGAAAGAAATTACCGCACTGCTGAAAAAAATGCTTTGACAAACACACAAGATATTAATAAGATATTAATCTCCCAGTTTACAGACCAATGATCTTTCCAACAAACAGCATTTACTGCTTACAAAACATAAAAGCCAGCTTCTTGAACATTCATTTGCTTTTGGCACGCCTTTATGCGTTTATATTTCATCAAGCATAGTAATTTGAAAAGAACAAGTAAAGAACACTAATGAAAAAGCCAAAATATATAAACATCAGAAAGACCTTGAAAAAATATACTGCTTTTATTTTGTAAGACCACTTACAGGAATGTTTAGATTCAGATGATATGCTAAGCTGTGTTTTCCTTAGATGTGTAAAGTTGTAAGCTAGACAGACTTGTTGTACAGGTATTGGTGGTGCTGACTCACTGAAAATTATGTCATAAGATCAGTATTTGTCTAAATTCTTTACCTATTAGTTCCATTATTTTTATTTCCACTATATGCAAAGCAGTCTTAAATTTTCTAACTACAAATGAAGAAAACCTGAAGCACTAAAATGCTGTAGACCAAAGTGATTTACTACAGTCTTAAAAAGTACCATATAAATATCAGCACCTATACAAATTTATAGTATAAAATTATGAACCTGCTTAGACTTGTAGATATACTTAAAATTTTACCATATTGGTGGCCCCAATGAAGTTGTTTATTGACAGTATCTTACTGTTGGGTCTCCATTTCATGTCTCCTTTGCATTTTTGAAACAAAGATCAGAAATTTAGCTCTTAACACTAAGAGAAACTGAGAGCAAAGGGATCTTTTGTGGACTCCCCTGTAGCACAATCTATCTTGGGAGGTAAACAGACCCTTCATTTCCAAGACTTAGAAGACAAAGTTGCCAAATGAAAACGAAAATTTATTTGTATGCAATAAAAGACTGGCAAGCAGTATTTCTCACTATTTAAGTGGTTTTGCAGATACAGGATCTACCACTGACAAGCTCCTCCCTCTTGCAGCCTTAGAGCTTAAGTGATGTTTCTGCACACTGTTACTGACATGACCACTATGAAAAGGAGATACCATCATGAGCACCTCCAAATACTCAGGTCTAAGGAATTCAAATTCATTGTGAATGGAATTATGAAACTATTTTGTTTCTGGTACCCACATACAGGAGAGCTCCTACAAAAATCTACTTCTTGCACTTTATCTTATGTAGTTGTTTTCCTTTCCTCTGTCATGAAGTTTCAGAGGAGATGCTGAGGCATTCATGTTTTCTTTCAGAAAAAGGTTATACTTGGTTATTATAAGGCTTGTATCAGAAAATAAAAATCCCCAAGAAATTCACATGAGTTTAGATTGGTTTGTAGTTTTGTATGTTCCACAGGAGAAAAATATAAAAGCCAATTTCTGCTGTATTTGGAGAAATTATTTATTAGTAAGTAAAACCTCCAAAGTCATATAAAATCCCTTTCTATTCAGATTATATGTTTAAGATGAAAACAGGTGTTCTTCTGTGCTAGGAAAAAACATGTGTATTCCTCTTTGGTAAGAATTCAGCATTTTTAATTTCCAAGACAGCTACACCGAAATTATAGATATAAGAAATCCATCTGTAAGCAGATTTCACCTTGGAATGGACTAATGGAGAAAGCAGGATTTAAAAAGAAAAGAAAATACAAAGGTGGTGGTGTATAAACTACATCCAGCAGAAAGAGATTTGGTCTGCTGTGCTAGGAAAGCCTGTTGTGCTCACTTTAAAAAAGTTCAGAAGGAGAAAATGGTATCCTAAAACAAAGTGACAAAATTGCTAACCTGAAATACTCCAACAACTAAAGGGACATAAGTATACACTGCCATACTTATCAGCGGCACTTCTGTTGTAATTTCACCCACTCCTATAGTGTATTATCACCTGTAAGTTTACTGTTATATCACAAAAGTAAAAGGACCTTTTAATCTATGGTAATGAATTCTTCCTTTCTTGTACAAAGAAATAGGTGGTCAGTTCAAGCCATGTATAGACCCTTCTGTATTACAGGTTCACAGCTTCAGGTTTTTATAGTAACTGGTGAGAATGGTGTTTATTGATGGATTTCTTAATGATGCCTTCTTTTTGCCACAAATTGCTGCATTTAGACTAGCTAGAAACATTCTAGAGTAACCACTAATCTGGTCTCATGGACAAAAAGGAGTTTTGTCACAATAAGGCATTTCATCATGATAACTAGTGAAGTAAGCAATATAAATATCTATGTATTTTAGGATTTGTGAATCACTTCACAGATCTAGAAGGGTTCACAGAAATCCTTGAGAAATCTAATGCTAACACCAGAGCAGGGAAGCTCTATTGCTTAAACACCTTGTCCTAGGAATTTTTTTTTTTTATTTAATTGAAACAATTATTCAGGTTACTGTAGCCCTATCGCTTACTCATGGAGTAGAAAAATCACAGAAGTGTTAGTAGGTAATGATCTGCATAAGGGACAATAAGCATATGAACATGCTTTCATTCATATTTTGAAGAGATGATTAAACTAAAATACATACCGCATCTGTAACTTCTATCTCATACAGCTTCTGGAAGCTCTCACGATCAAAGAAAAACAGCTTCCCACTGCCACCACCTTTCTTAACAGAAGTGCCTGTGACAAGGATCTTATCATCTGGACTGAAACAACAATCTGTTCTGTTGAAGAAAACAAAGCATCTTACTGGGCAGATAAATAATTAACATATCAAAAACTTAGATATAAATTCCACTCATTAAAACAATCTTTTCTATCTGTTAGTTCTCTCCAGACAAAGCTTGAAAAATTATTTTGTTAGCTGTCATCTATTGCTGTAGTTATCAATTAGAGTTATCAGTTACAATTGTTACTACAGTTGTGTACAAGATGCGCAAAACTGGCAGATTCAATAAAAATTCTCCTCCCAGCAAAATTCTCCTCCACTCAAAAGTCTTGCAATCTTTTCAATAGAAGAAACAAAAGAAAAAAAGTACTTGAAAATCTGGCTGTCATCATTAAGTAAAAAAATGTACTAATCATGAAATCTGGTTTTGCTGATGATACATTCTTCAGTGATGCAAGGTGATGTGTTTATACATTGGCCAAAAAAGTTTTTCTGTTTATTTCTCCTTTGTGTTACAAATTGCTGCTAAGATTGGGCTCTCCATGACTTGCCTTTCTAAGATCTTGTTTCAAAATTACAAATTGTCCTTAGGGGATTTGGCTGTATTACAACTATAGAAATGAAGCTCAGACCAATAAAAATATTGCAAACAATACTTAGCACTATGCAGTAAAATAAAATCAGCACTTCTGACACTGTAACCTGAATTCATATTACGTACCTTCATGTTATGTCTACTTTTTCATTCAGATCTTTTTAAATTAATTATAGACTAAATAAGAATAAGGTTTACATCTATATCTCATTACACACATATGGGCCTCCTCTTGAAATGTTACTAATCTAATTAGACTTAAGACATATGAGACTGAAATATCACAAAAATAAGATCTTTTAAAGCAACATGAATCCCTAAAATAAAAAAATCCTAGAATTGCCACTGCACAGTTCTCCTTGGGCAGTCCTCTCTGCACAATTGTGGATCTAGTGACAGCTGAGGATAAGAACTCCAGCAGAACCCTTGCCCACTCAGCAAAAATACTGCTATTTCTGCTAGTTGGAATAAATTAGAATACTTACATTGGAAAGAAGCTGGGCAGTCCATCTGCTGAATTAAGGGGTTTTTTAAATTGCCTAATATCCCATAGCTTTAAAGTATCATCTCCTATGAAACAGAAGAGACAAAGGTTAGCAATAAAGAATTCAAGTCAAGAACCTACACACATCAGAAAATTTCACTCTTTAATTAAGAGAGAAGGGGAACAAAATTATATAGTAGAAGCATCCAAAATGGGAACAATTTGGAAGTTTTTCCTCAATAAGTGACTATGACAGTGCATGGTTAAGAAGCTCAATATGCTCCAGTAGACCAGAAACTTCTCTTCAATGGCTCAGCTCCATTGTGGTAATTCAATCCTATCAAGAACCACTACTCACGGTGGAATCAGATTCCTCAATCACTAATTTATTCTGTGTTTGTGAGCATTGATGTTTTGCTTCTAGGAGCAAATTTAACTTTCAGTATATCTAAAAAAATTAAAAATGTTGCCATGAATGGTCTAGATCAAAAACTAAACACGTTTTATATGTGTGGCTTTTACCTGTCCTAAAAAAGCAATCAGGAAGAACATGAAAAGCACATAAAAGTCTTCCTTCTTGTTTAGTACACAAAAAACTGCTATCTCAGTATGCAGAAGAGGCCCTGGAATCAGTCAGAAGTCCTCCAGGAAGGGAGTGATGGGAAGCAAGTGAAACCACACTTGCTGTAACGAAACCTTTTCACCACACTACCTTTAGCTATAAAAGCAAAAATCAAGGTCACAAAAAGAGATCTGTAGCAATTTTCATCTGTATTTGATAAACATGGTGTGACTGCAGACCAGTAAATGTCAGGCTGTTTATCCCTTTTTGAAAAGTTATGACATATTAACAAAATGAGAACAGGGGTAAAAAGGAGATTAGTTAGTTATTCTCAGAGACATCTACGTCTCTGCTCTGACTGCCCTTCTGGAACATATATTTCCAGCATGAGATGAGCTACAGAATTTGAGCTTTGAAGTACCTCACTCAAGCACCTAGACACGTCCGAGCATTTGGCAGCAGTGCCTCAGCACTTTCAAGGGTAAAAAGAAGGATATTTAAGAAACAATTCTCTTTAAAAATATCCAGACAAAAAGTTATAAAGTTTTTCTGACCTAGGAGACAAGATCTGCTTCCTTCCAAAGTACAAATCTTGCAGGGAAGTAATTTGGTTATCTGCAAGTATTTTGTGGATTCATAGCCTTTGAGCTCAAGAGCTCAAAGGAGGCCTTGGAAATAAAATGTTTTTAAAAGAAGTAACAAAAGAAATCAAGGCCGACAGTGCCCTTTACAGGGAAAGCAGTAATGTGTGGCCTCGTACATCATGTATGTTTATCTTAAAGACTAGGATAACTCCTTACTACAAAATATTTTTAAGAAGTAGACAACTTAAATAAATGATGTCTAGAGCAGAGTGTATTTCTGTTCATTGGAAAGCTAAAAAACAACAGGAAAGAAAAATGTTGAGTCCCCTGTTTTGGGAATATGTGTTTTCTTATTGTTTCCCAGTAGACTATATCCAAAGTACTTCAAAGCATTTAGTATTGTAAAATGAAGTCTCCCTTTTCCCTCCCAACCCAGCTACCCACCCCCCGAAAAAAAAAAAAAAAAAAAAAAAAAAAAAAAAAAAAAAAAAAAAAAAAAAAAAAAAAAAAAAAAAACAAAAAAAAAAAAAAACTTATCGTCAAGATGCTGCATCTAAAGCACCAGCCCTTTACAAATGTATGAAAAGGACAACATTTGGCTACTTTGCAAGTCTCCTGGATAGGGACAGATCTACGGCTAGCAGCCAAGGCTGTTCTGTTCCTAGTGGAATGAGCCTTGACATGATCTTCAAGCTGTAGTCCTGCCAGGTTTTAGCAGGAGAAATGCAATCAGATATGTAGCTATAGCTCCTTTGCTAGCAAGAAAATGTAACAAGCTGGTTAAAAAAGTTTAGAAGACCCTAGTAGGACTCAAATTTATGGCTGATTTCAAGTCAACATTGTCTTAAACTGAAATAGTTTAGAAATAGAAGAGTAAGTATTTGGAGAGGGGAAAATGCTAGTAGAATGACTTGACTTGCTAATGCTGTAAAACTTTACCATCATTAAGAATTTGCTCCAATTCACTTTTCCTAATTAAAACTACTAGTGTGCAAATGCAAATTGGTTCCTAAATCTAATTTGCATTTTGAGTTGAAATCACTGTCACTAAGATCACAGAGTATTGCTTTTCCTCAGCACCAAGGATTTTTCCCAGTAGGATTCTTCTATCCATGCTTAGGAGGCAGCTTTAACAGAGCTGCAGCAGTAGTTATCTGTTTTTAATTACTTTACACGTGAACAAAAATAGTTATCCTTAAACAAAAGCATATAAACAGAAGTTGTGCAATTCAGTATGAATATTCAAAATAGTCTAGTCACATAATTCAGTAGTTTTTCTTGATGTCAGACTTCTCCAAAACCCGGCAGGATTATTTAAAGCTTTTACAGCATTTTTAGTAGCATTTCAAACTCTATTTTTCACCATTTTAATAAGGATACCAATAAATAAGCTCAAGACTGACACAATCAGGTCAAGACACTGTTATGCCAATGGTACTGAGCACTGGATTTATCAAGAGGTAACAATTAGGTCCTAGAAAAACAGTCTTTGGTGAGCAAAGATAGGCATTTTTCAAATGCTCTTTAGTCAAAATAAGGCTGAAGCACTATAAAGATTTGATCTGATTTTTTTCTTTTCTTTTCAGAAGATACTGACCAGGAAGACAAGCACATGAATATGAGTAGGCCCAAAAAAGCAAAAGTGCTGCCAGGAATTCACAAAGCCTACAGTCAGCAGCACTCTGTTTAAAAAGAGCGAGTCCTCTGCTGAAAGCGAAACTTGATGACAGAAATTGTTCACAGAGATCAGTGAGGCAAAGAAACATAGGAAATGGGAATTTTAAAAAGTTACAGCTTTGGAAACACATAGCGTAAGAAGCTTACGAGAATATGTTTATCAACTCTGAGCCTTTTTATGAAGGCTTATACTACATATGCGAGAGACAGCTTACAGAACAAGGTGTAGGCTTCGGCATTCTGTACTGGTTCTACAGGAGGAGCTGCAACAACTTCACAACATCCTTTTGAGGTGTCAAAGATTGGGACCAAAGCCAAAGATCTCATGAGGGAAGTCACAAATTGAGGAATCTATGCCTACATTTGGAACACTTCTCAGCATCACCTGCATCCATACCAGCCTGATCAAATACTTAAGCGCATCATCCACTCTAAACATATGGAATGAACATACAAACATATGGCTAGAAGACTTTCTTATCACCATTTCAGCTCCAAGTGTTGCACTTACCTGACTATGCCTATTAAAACTAGTAAATGTATTTCTGGCATGGTTAGAATAAACAGAAGTGTTCACCTTCTAAGAAATATTACTTGCTAAAACCCATCTGATTTTTGAAATGCCAATGTTTGGATTTACTATGAAAAGCAATATGTTATTACACTACACAAAACAGTCACTATACATGCTACTGCATAACCCTTGAGCTTACATGTTTCTATGTTTTAAACCAATTTAAAAATGAAGAAAGAAATACAAGTAAAATGGGGGAAAAAAAGACCAACAAAAATATCAGGAGTCAAAAAATATTCAAAAAAATTTTACAGTAAGATCTCAAGTCCAATCCTAATTCTTATCTCTCCCCCGCTAAACAAAGAAAATGTTCCCCAAATACTGCCTTTCATTGTTTCAAGCATGCAGAAATATCACTTTCTTAAGTTTCTGTCAAGTTACTACCTAATATCCAACAAGAATAGCCCTGGAAACTTTCATAAGCAGCTCCTTAGGTTTTCATTTTCCCTTGTGCCTGCAGCTGAGCCATGCCTCATCTTCTCATATCCAACACAGATCTACATCAGATGCAGGAAAGTCCATCAGGCTTTCAATGAAAGTTCCCATGCCCCAAATACTATCCTCTCTTTGATCCTCAGCACTTGGCAGGTGTGTTAATCTATGAATGCTGGATCCACATCTGCTTTTGTTGGTACAGATCCAAAGCAATACTCATATTAAAGCACTAACCAAACAAGTCAAAATAAGATATGAATCCTCCTTACTTTCTAGCATAGTGCATACAGAGCTTTCTTTCCTCTTAATACACTAGACAAAGGTAGCACTTTTACCCACAATGAGTGGCCAAATTTCTGTGGAGTCTTACATTCTGCAAACAATCAATCAACATTTTATACAGCTTAGAGCAGAATGTGGAAGATAAAACCTGTGTAAATGAAAGTCTGTTTAACACGAAACAAAAACTGGAGACAGATGAGGAAGAGCAGGCAAGTAAAAGTGCCACATGCAATAAAAATAAGAAAAGGTCATTTATGTGGTCTACACTCATAAATGAGAAACAGAAGAGAATTTGAATAAATGGAGGTTTCAAGACAGCACTAGTAAATACCCCTCACTAAGTAATAGCCTTGTTTGCTGCTATATTTAAAAGCATACCAAGGTTTATCCCTAAATTTCCTAAAGAACATTTGTGTGAATTTTTTGTGGCAATCACCACTGGCAGACAGACACAGCATTTAACTTAGTGCAGAATGGAAAGACACACAGTTCACATATTTTCCAAGCAGGAGAAGGTCCACACATAATAAAAGTCTGGTTCAGTGAGGACAAAAAAGCTTTTTCAGTGAGCTTTTACCTGACCACTTACAACCCATTCATGAGTGGCGGCAGAACTCTGAACAGCAGCTCAACTCAGGACGCTGAACAGCAGTTATGAAACAACACAAGTGCCATTAGTGTCCAAATGCCTAGGGCCTTCGAGGATAAGACTACAAAGTCCTTACTCTGAAAGATGTGCTCTAGGAAACAACATCTGGAATCTTTGAAATGTGGCAAGACATACAAAGAATCAGTGAGGCCACACCCAATATCAGCTGCATTTCACTGTACTGACATGCACCGGCCAGACACTCTACCCCCTTCAGGGACAGGGGCGCAGGGAGGACACAAAGAAAATGCAAGCTACTTGGCTAGGAAATCCATCCACTGATTCAGAGGTTTTTTTAATCTATGAATACCTATATCTGGTATTTTGTGTATGTTATCTCATTCTATGTACCAAACTGACCAGATGTTCTAAACATATGTTAGGCACAGCGTTAGCCAACATTAATTTATACTGCCTCTCCCTAGGCCTGTTTATTTGGCCTTGGGGCAATGCTAATGCATACACAGAGCTTCTGGTTACAGCTGTTTTCCATCCAGACAGCTTGGCTTGTACGCTTGCACCTGCCTGCAAAACACTGGGCAGACAAATCTCTGCACGAAAAGTTGTCTTCAACAGACACCATCCTACCCCAATAATGAAGTTAATGAGTCCTCAAATATATCTTTGCCTTCTCAAGTCTTATTCTGTTGTCTAAGATTCATTTACAAAAGTTTTATCTGAAGCTTACAACACAAGCCTGTTTTCCCAGTCCTGCGGACATTCCAAATTCTTTTGCCATTCAAGTACATTTTTGGAAGGTCAATTCCAGTCATCAACTTTTGATACTTTTTATACAGATTAGATAAAAATTCAAATTAGGACAGAAAATTACATTGCCTAAGAAAGTTGTATGAGGAATTAATACCTCCAGAGAAGAGCTAGTGTTATTGAGAGGCACTTATCTTCCACAGAAGAACTAAGCAACAAAACTGGACTTTTTTATTTTTAGTTAAGCTAATTATTTTCTTTCAGTGTATTATTACTGCTAGACAAGAACACAGATCAGAAACTGTGTAATATAATCAGCAAAGTTATCTTAAAATATTTCTTAACTGCTGTAAAATTCTCTATCAGGAACATGGTATTGAAATGTGTATCAAATTAAAGTAGTAAACTGTGAAATACTTCATATTTTAATCATTAGTATCTGATTTCACTACCTTATCTCCCTCCACCACATACAGTTAACTCAAACAATTAACATGATCTATACGGTTTGTTTAATGAACCATTTCATTTCATTAAAAACGTCTTATATTTAACATGTCATTGGGTTCTTTCAATCACCTACCTCCTCGGCTGGCAAGGACAGTACCATCATAGGAAAATGTCAAACATGAAGTGTCAGTGCCTGAAGCATGGGCTTGTCTGCAGTGGAACTTTGTATGTACCTGTTTGCCAAACAAAAAAGACATTACAGAATAAATTACAATTATGAATCAAATAACAAATGAAACAAATGGGACAAGCATTACTTCATAGTGTTTTCTGTGCTCTGCTGCTTTCCTTATTCTAAACAGAAATCCTTGCATTTTTAGGAGGTACAGTAGCTAAGTATTTCCAACAGACTTTAAAAAAATGCTATATTTGTTTTAGAAGATGCTTTCATAACAAGAGCTTGAATGCAAAATTTGAATTCTTCATAGGTTTAATTATACAGTACAGATTTACATAGCATCAGTGCTCTTGGAAAACTCCCACTAGCACTGAACAAAGGTAGTTATGGCTTGTTTAAGATAAAAATACATTCCAAGACAGTTCTCAACACTCCCCTAAGTAGGCTTTTAGTTTCTCAAACTACCAAAATACAATGTACATACTTTTGAAAGGACAGAAAAGGACTGGAAAATTAACTTTTGCCAAATTTAATTTCTGACAGAATTCATGGCTTACATAATATAATAAAGTTCAGATATTGTGAGATTTGTGTTCCATTTAGGCACAGTAAAATTCAAGTATGGGAATGATGCATGTTTTATATTAATTATTTCTATTTTGCTGATAATCCTAAAGAAAGGTTGAAATTGCCTTCAAGTTCACATTTTGTTGTTGTATGGAGATCACTTCTTATTTATTAAGTCATTATTTAGTAAAACACCTAAAAATACTATTAACAGGGAAAGAACCTCAAATTAAATTTAAATGGTCTTGTCAAATCAAGCTTTCCGACCTCCCAACCAAAAATACGAGTCTCTGCTAAGATTTCAGGACAGGAAGTGGAAACACAGGAAGGGAAAAAGGGAAAAGACAGACACAGATAAAAACAAAATTGAGACAGGTGATTCCTTTTTTAATGCTTAGGCAAGAAAACTAATTCACATAGTTGTAAATTAGGCATTCAAGACTTAAAGGTTTCCAGTGCAACTGTATCTAATCTTCCTCTCTGTAAAATGAGGATTAAAACATAGAGGAGAAAATGGCAGATTAGTGACCTTGAAGTCCTTTATTTATGGTAGTGATGAGCAAAACAGAACTCACGCATATAAGCATATCTTTTCAGATGAGAGATTGAATAACATGCAGCAAAATCAGACCTAGAATTCCACACTGAACAGTAAGAGCAGCTGCTTAGCAATCTTTATCCATACTGTGCATTAAAATAGATGCATTTCTACAGAATCTGATCGCAAAAGGAGAATGTAATCATGAAATGCGATCACGCAGACTGATTTAGGCTTGCACATAAATCCTTAGTAAATTTATCTTCTAATTTGTGACTATGCACCTTACTAAGGCTCTTTTAATGGGTCTTATTTTTTAAGTAAGAGACACAAACTAGTGAAGTAATTAATGTTGTTTATTCTTAAGAATAACTGTTCTAAATTTGGATCGAAAGCTAGAGAATATTTGTGTGATGATGTCAATAATTATTGCAAGCTTATTTTGATGTGCAGATTTGGCCAGTCATTCAGAGGAGTCACTCTAGGCATTCCCTCCACAACTGACTTTGCAAGAAACAAAGGGGGACTTCAAATACCAACAACATGCTTCCTACAGTATTTGAACACAGAATGCAATGGCCTACACTTAGCCATAGTAATTGTTTTGAAATTACTGTCACCTCTACCCAATTATGCATACCCTGAAGTCTATGAACAGACTGGTTTACAACTGTTTGTCTTTGGTGGGAGTGTTTATTAATACTAAAAAACATATTTTGTGCATCCAATTGCATAAAATTTTCCAAGTATGTGTAAATATGTAAAGAATAAGATGTGAATTGGCTATCAGGAAATAAATTTTCTGTAGTATTTGTTAAACACTAACAAGCAATTAAAACAATGTATTTTTTGTCTAAGAAATACCATGGACACTTTCAAAAGCATCATAAATGGTTAATATTCATACTTTAAAAATAACAGATTACATTACGATATTCAGCTCATTCAAACAAGTTAAAAAAACTTCATTTGGGCTCCACAACACTGCCATCCCTCCAGACAATGTCACACTGACATACATATATTAAAATACCATTTTTTTCACTCTGCTGCCCAACTTAATGTGAGGGGGTGAGGTTTTTTCCTTTCATTTCATCCTCCATCTAAAATTCTTTCCTCTTGCTTTGTGTTGGATCCAAATTAAAACACAGAAAGAGATCTGGGGTTCAATGAATGCCTTTTCTTTTATGCTTTATAAGTAAAAACCCTAAACATCTATAGATAGATAGCAAATCACATAACAGTCCATAATTTCTATTATTTTCCTATGGTCAAATACACCAATTTTATTTAGCATTTATTTGTGAATCCATCAATACCTAAACCGTATCTTTTAGGAATTAAAAATCTCATCTAAAATTGGCCACAAGTTGTGCCAGGAGAGGTTTAGTTTGTATATTAGAAAAAATTTCTTCCCTGAAAGAGTGGTCAAGCATTGCAACAGGCTTCCCAGAGAAGCGGTTGAGTCACTGTGCCTGGATGTATTTAAAAGACACGCCAATATGGCACTTGGGGATATGGTTTAGAGGTGGGCTTGTAAAGAGTGGGACTCAATGCTCTTAAGGGTCTTTTCCAACTGAAATTACTTTTTACATCGTGCACTATAGAACGTTCTGAATAAAGTACTTATATTCTGACCAGGTTTTGCACTTTTTTAAACTGTCCTATAGAGAAAGGAAAACAGCTGCATATAGATGTCGAAGACTGACACCATTTGCCCTTTAATGACAAAAATGAAACCGAACAAACAAATTTTGCCCAATTCTATCCAGCTTCGATACTTTAGGATTTAATGTAAAACCAGGCTTGACTGAAAGGAATAGTACGGTTGCATCAGGAATTCTATGTCTTTAAAATAAATTTGCTCCATTTACCAGTAAAAAGATTGTTTTCCTAACTTTAAGATCAGCAAGCTTGCCCTCCATATATTATTCTGCAAAGGAATATAACCCTGAATCGTAGTACTAAATCAAATATTCTAAAATGACTGAAGGTTGAAAAGTTTTTACACATACTGGCAAACATTCATTGCAGTTTTCAAAGAAAATAATGTTTTTGGCCTCTGACCTCATAGTATTTTTAACAGATGTCTAATCTTGCTAACAAATCATTAGCAAAAAAAATTGTTATCAGAATATTTCTAGTTGGAAAGACATGAAACAACAGAACCAATGTAGGCAATTCAAAAATTTGATTCAAGAAGGGAAAGAAGAGCATTGAAACATAAGATAAAGATGTCAAGATAATTAGGGCAAAGTGTATCTACATATCTCCTTCTTACCCTTCTCCTTTTTTTGCAGAGGTGCCCGCTATTATGAAGTAATCGTCATGTGCCTTATAAAATTTGACAAGTTCATCAGTCTTTAACATTTTTTAAAGGTTTAGTTACTTCAGCAAATTCTGCAGTAAACCACTACATTCTGCAACTTATTTAAAGGCTTTCTAACAAATAACTCCACCAATGTAAGCACTTTCCTCCTAGCTTTGTATTAGCACGTATATTTTTGTTAAGCAATTACAGCTGACTGTACTTGTGTGCAAAATGAGATGACAGGCATAAAACATGAAGCACATGTGAGAAAGGACACAGTTGCATGTATCAAAAAAAACAAAAAATAACAGATAAATGTCAGGGTTTGCAATATTGCCAGAGTCCTCAGAGTGAACAAAAGCCAGAAGATAAAAGGAAACTAGAGAACAGATTGGGAAAGGGTGGGGGCAAAGGTACATGACTGGAGGAGCATCAGCAATGAGTACCCCTTGTACAAAAATTGGTATGGACTTAAGAGGACACATACAGGAAGTGAAGACAACAGTGGCCACATGAATGGTTTACCACAAAATAATGACCTACAACAGAGCCACATGGCTACAGCCCTGCATCCCACAACTGCTCTCCTGCTCCAAAACACTCCATAAAATTTGTTCTAGGAAAAAGACAGACCTACTCAATTTGTTCACCTCAAAAATCCAAGCTACATCCATGAGAAAAATAGCAATATGTCTAACTGATGGAATTTTTCAACTTCCCACATTGTTTGTGGGATACAATATTTCACAGTAAGCCGACACTTTCCCAAGATTACAATGCTTCTCACATTCTGCCTCCTCCCCCCACTTTTCTTTTAACAAAATATTGAATGTCCCAGCCAAGACATTCTTCTTTCTTATTTTTTTCTATCTTCTACTTTTTTTTTAAGCAAAGGCAGTAAATTAAGGCAGGCCTTGGGGAAAGTGAAACCTACAAAGATGGCTATATCAACCTTTCTCTGTTCTACAGATGTATAGCAAAATATACTTATTTATTAGTGTGAACACAGACAACCATACAACTACAATCACAATTTATGTTGGTTTCAAACCAGAGGCAGAAGGGCAGGACAGCTCAGCAGAGATGCCTGACAAGAAAGTCCCAGGCCATGTACAGCTAGTTGAGTTTTAAATGAGTTTTTTCACCTAAGATACTTACAGCAAAATAAAACAGTTGTAATTTTTAACAAATATAAGAGCCTTCCAAGATGACATATTATTACAGGCCAGGCTCAAGGTGATAAAAGTATCAGTTACAAAGCTGCAAGATGAAAACAAGCAAACAAAGCAGAAATCTCCTTTTTAGTCACAACTGACCAAAGCTGTCTTGGGTCTTTGTTCAAAGTGATCCATCAGAAACAGACAACATCTCAGAGCTGTGATCACAGGTGACAAGGCAGGCAAGTTCCCAAGGCAGGAATTACACTCTCCAAATGTCTACTTCCCCATCCCCCCTTCAGCCACCTCTACTGAAAAGAAGTGTTATCTCCTTTGCTCTCAGTCACAATCAACAAAAGAAATCTAAGTGTACTTTCTGGGTTTAGTGTACCAATTAAAAATTGTCAGGTCTACATATGTCAATTGAATCCAGAAATTTCTCAATATTTTCCCTGAGCAGGCTGTATCAGATGCTTTCCTTA